TTTGGTACCACCTCTGGATTCCACCTGACCCTTGTGTGGTTTTGCTGCTGCTGCTGCTGCTGGAGATGAGCCATGCTGCTGTCACAGCCACCCTTTGCTTCTTTCACCGACATGCTCAAATCCTCAGCCCGATTCAGGTCAATAATATCACCTCCCCAAGGAGGATGCCTGAGAAACCACGTGCTTCTAGGTCAATGACTGGTTTCTATTGAATAATCAAGGGCATGAGATGAATTTTTTATTTTTCCTTAGTCACGGTAGAAAGGCATTTATGACTCACACAGAAGGTCCAGTCACAGCTTCATCTTATTACCATTAAACTCAATGGAGAAACTAAACTCTGTTGTGTCTGTGCTTGACCCTGAGTGCAGTTTGTGTAAGCCCCTCAACGTGGTGTACATAAGGAGCTACATTGCACAGTCTGCGCTCCTGTAGGAGAAGGCTTCAGTGTCTGCAGTGAGACTGCTCAACTTTAGTGCATGTTGCTGGGCCATAGTGCTTCTGGTGCTCCAGTTTCAAGCTCCAACATAAGCAGAGACGAGCCAAGGGTGGGATGCCTGGTGGTGCACACAGTGCAGACTACATCAGGACAGACTGGGGATGAGGCTGGTACTGAGGTGCCAAATAAGGTCTTTTTCTCTTTGAAAAACTTGAACCTAATGATTGAATTATTTGTACAATGTTGACTGCTTTCATCATCTATTTTGAAAAGCCTGCCAGGTGTTAGAACTGAACCAAAAGTTTATTGGTCCTTTTAATGTTTATTGGTCATGTTAATGTTACATCATGTGGGTTTGAGAATAAATTTCCATTTGCACCCCCTTGTATGTGTATATCATGCTGTAAGAGGGACTAGATTTGACTTCTTGTCTCAAGAACACTATTTGGAAAATCTTATGAATTAGATCTGCATTATTTATTAATGTGCTGCATTGGTATCTGGGTGATACTACTCAGGGATTGTAGGATTGATTGTAGGAATCATTTCTATGCAGGGTATACAGGACTGAGGCAGCAATCATACTGGGTCAGTTTAAGAGAAGTCTCAATATAGTGGGGGAAAGGGAACACAGATGGGTAAACTCGTTGCTATTGACACTGCCTAGTAGTTGGATATACACAATCTTTACATTTATATGCCAATGCATACTTTTCATTCACTCTACACCTCTAACTCACCTCTGCCCATCTCTAGTGGAAATCATCTGCACATGAGTTCCCAGCAATATTTAGGGGGCTTTTCCTGCACTACATTTTGGAGTATTTTTGAGAGGAAATGCAGGGCTAGGCTTTTGTCCTTTGTAAGCCAGGAGCTTCTTGGACTTGGTGTGTGTCACAGGGAAGGAACTGCCACTCCAGTAACAAGCAGGTATGGGCCTGTTGTTTTACTGAGCTTGTATTAGTAACTCTGAGAATTCAAAAACCCATAAGCATAATATAAACTCTTGACAGTTTATAATAGAGTTTTGGGGTTTTTTTATTACTACTGTTGATCTCCCAGTTTCTGAGCCTTTATAGTGTTGCAGAGATAAGAGCTTCTAACTGTTCCCTACAGCCTCTAAAGCAAGGTATATTTTAAATTCAAGTGGAAGTTTCCACAGCTGCATGACTTGAAGACTTCGGGTCTCAAGAAGAGTATCATAGTGCAAAACTCCAAGTTGCATGACTGTTGGCAACATTCTGCTTTTTCTGTTGTTCCTGACTGCTAAAATATTGTTTTGAGGCAAGTGTAAGTTCACATATCCTGTCTTTTCCTCTGCAATCGCTTTTTACCCCTTTCCAGCATCAGTTAGTTCTCTCTTATATTTAGTTCTCTATATCACCAGTTCACTTATCAGAAAAAAATAATTTCCTAGGCATTCCCAGCCAAGTCATTGTGAACCTACCACTGTGCCTAATACCATACCAAACACATCCAGTCAGCTCCTCACACCAGGACCCTCTGAGGTACCTGAGAGCTGTTCTAGCTCTACTTTGGGCACTGCATCCCTTGGGCAGGAAGTAGCAGAAGCCTTCAGTGGGGAGAGCCATAAGGGAAACAGCCAGGTATCTATAGCCTGTGAGACATGAGGTCAGGGGCCTTCCCTAAGGACAAAAAGATGTTGGAAGCCCCTAAAAGAGGAACCTGGGTTGGAATAGCAAGGTCCAGACCTGTCAGAGATACCCAGTATGTGAGGGGCAGATTCACCTACCAGCCTGCCCAGACTTCATAGTAGCTTTGCCTGTTGTTGTTAGAACATCCAGTTAACACACAGCAGCCTTTTCTTCTAAGTACCTGTTTTGTGTTTTGCATGCATTTCAAGGTGGCAGCTCCTATGAAGGGGTCTCTGCAGGAGCCCTTGGGCACTCAGCACAGGTTTCTGTTGCTTCCCTAGTGCCACTCTAATGAGTTTAAATATCAAGTAGCTTAAAACATACAGAGGTTGTTCCCAAAAGGGGTGAATAGTCAGTGTTTTATATTCACTGGAGCATTTCAGTCAGTTTTAATCACAACAGAATATGTTTGCATCTGGTCCCAGCCCTCCAAGTCCTCCCTCAGTACTGTGAAGTAATTGAAGAATATGATTAAAGTTAATTATTTTAATTGCCCATTGACTCAGGAAGATTTCTGATAGCATTGGGTAGGATCTGATCTGCAAAGGAAAGGCCTTGTGGATTATCTGCATTAGCACAGATCACTGCCAGCAGTGGTGTGAGGGGTGAAATGAAACACCATTAGCGTCCTGCAAGCACTGTGTGGGTTACAGCAGAGGGGAGGGTGAAGCAAGGTGGGAAACATGAGACATATTTTTATCTGAATGCAGAAGAAAGAATGTGTATATTGTGCCAATTTGCCTGTGAAGCATTTGGCCTTGTTATTAGTCCACATGGTGTTCAACCACAGTGTAATGTCACTGACTTTGTTGAGGCTCCCATTTGATGCAGCTGTGAGTGAAAGCACAGGGTTCTTCTAGGGCTTGAAGTCTGAAATATGAGAATTGAAACCATATATATTCAATAAGCTGAAATACTTAACACCTAACCATTCCAAAAGCAGCATTTTTGCTGGAGGTAGCAGTAAAGAAGAATGATGGTCTACTAGTTAGTTCACCCACACTGAGCTTGGAACACTTTGTCTGTATTCTCTGCCCTGCTGATCCTGCATTGGCCTTTGGGCTGCTCCATGTCTCATTTCCCCTCTCTGTAAAAAGTAAACATGCCTTCCTAGGACTATGTGAATTGCTGTCATGATGTGTGAGCATGAAAATTCATATAAATCCACTGATGTAGTGACAGAAAGTGCAAATACTTTTGTGATTTTTTTTTTTTTTTTAATGGATAACAGTATAGTATCTATGGAATCAACCACTTCTGACAATGGAAGAAAAATAAACCAGGATTGAACAGGACCACTTTTAGCTTAGGGACACTAAGCAGAAGTTTGCTATAGGGTGGTAGGGTCTTCTAGGAGAGCATTAGCACACGCTTGCAATGCTCTTAGGCTTTATCTAGATGTTTGTTACTAGCCATTGAGCCAGAGAAGCTATTGGAGAAGATAGACTTCTGTCAGACCTAGGTTGGCTATATTGTAATATTCCCTGTGTGTAATGAGAGCAATTTTTGGATGTTTGAAGCCTCTATGGGTCCTATTTATACAGTATAAACATTGTTTTTCTATTAGGTCTGATAGATAAGCACTTTCTTGTGTTTTCCCATATTTGGTCAATGAGTGAAAGTGTTTTTAATAGTCTTTTTTATTTGATTAAGTGCAGATATAAGAAACAGAAAAAATACTCCTGACTAAAATGATCTGATTTGTCCTTTATCAGTATGAGAGAAACCAAGAAAGATTCAGGTTGAACTATTTTGACTATTGACATTTGCCATCCTTGCTGTTTTAGAGGGGCTGAATCTGACTTCTCTTCCTCTCCCTGCTCAGGGCAGATTTATATCAGTGGGGTCTGATTTACAGTACTCCTCCCACAGGCACTTCTTTTCTACCCATGCAGCTGTACTGAGTCCAGTGGATTTTTGCCTGATTTATTACCATGTGAACAAGGGCTGCACCAAGCTGTGTGACTCCTGCAGTTAGTTTCAATTTGCACTGATGCAGCTGACAGCAGGATTTGACTTGAATGATCTCACTGTTGCTGTGGCACTTGCATTGTAATTAAAGCCAATGCTGCATCGTTATCTCTTTAGAAATGCATGCTGTGCGTGCACCTCTTAGCTCACTTCTTGTGTCTACAACTGTCTCCTCTGCTGAATAACTCTATTCACAAGCATCATTATGTTGCTGGGCATCTGCTGTGAGGAGACTGAGGTCCAGGCATGGCATGCTGGGGCATGTGTCCAAACCCTGACTCTGAAGTCCTTCCCACTGTTCTCCATTCAGAAGAATGGCAGTGAGCTCAGGGAGAGTGTCGGGTGCTTAGCATGGGCAGGCATAACCTGTGCCAGACATGTAAACAGGCGAGTGCAGATGCCTGTTGTGGGGGTTGTGGGCTGCCTGGCCCAAATTCAGGAGCTGCTGATGCTGCAAGTGGTGTTGGTAAAGCTGGTTGTAGGAATGGACAGAACCAGCAACTCCCTGAGGGGGCAAAAGATTACCAGGGCAGCCTTGTGTAACAGCGACTAAGTGTGCCCAAACCTCTCAGTGACAGCAGCTCAGGAGGTCCCTTGTTCCCAGCTGTCTGTCTCAGTACTGCCTATCCTTTCCATACCCAGGGAGCCAAGACAGACATCTAAAGGTTTTGAGAAATCATCTGACCACCAGCCCATCACATTTGCCTGATCAAGATTACTAAGCTTAATTCTCTAGGCTTTTCTCCTCTACTGCTTGTAACCTAATTTTTTGTTTATATTCATCTTTACTTTCCATACTGTACCAAAATGATGTGTACTGAAACATTTGTTCACATAAATAAGGGAAGGTAATCACTTTCCTCCCTGACCACATGCTCTCTTCTGTTCCAACTCTTAATTAAAATGATACTAAAGGAAGCAAATCAATTAACAGATACCTTACAAGATGCTTTATTCACTTACACATGTACACACAATTACTTACAAGTATCACATTACTGCTTTAGTTTATCTCTTAGCAAATGGTGCTAATGAACTGCAGTGTTACTGAAATGGGTAACAGACACGTAGGAATCTAGAGAAAGTGTACCAATATACAATTTTTCTCTCAAAATAAACCTTACATTTTGTTATTCAAAATATGTGGAAAAATTACTGTCCAGTTTCCTTTGCATATTTGAAAAATTACCTGCTCTGTGAAGGTTAGAAAAAAAACACATATTCAAATCCCTTCAGTTACAGTTACAAGTAGTAAAGTAGCTTATTCTTTGTAAAAACAAAATTCTGATATATCTGCTCTTATGCTCTAACATCATATTGACTTTTAAGTCCCTGACTCAGCGCATCAGCTCCCCCTTTAATGTGTAGGGTTAATTGCATCTCTTCATGATATGAAAGTTGATTTCTGGATAGGAAGCTCTGGTTTCCATGATTTTTTTTGAGTGATATTTCTTAATAATACACAGAACTTCTAGGTTAGACTTCATTCTTACAATTATTTTGTTTGTTTTTTTTTTAAGTTGGATTATATCTATTGTATTAGTGAAGAACTGGAAAGAACATTATTGTTAGGATCTGTCACATGGCATAACTGAGAGCAGATAGAGGTACCAAATCTTACTTTAAGAATGTATGTTAGATGAGAGATTAAAAAAATCCATGTCTATAGACATTGGCCTGAGCTAAAATTTTATGAAGATCCAATTTATTTACAGTTTGTGGTCTTTGGATCTGGATAATGTTCATTTGTAAGTTGCAATAAAATAGTGTAAAATCCTGTTTGGAGTCATCCTGTAATGCTACAACATAATGCTGTAATGCTCTGCCTGTGAAATATTGGAACATTATTTAATGTTGTGCATGTCATCTACCTGAGGCTCCCAAGCCTTTAAGTCCTGCTGGGTTTCCTGAGAGGAGCTGTAGGAATAGCAGGGGATGCCCAGTGTGACATTGCTGCTGGCTGAGTGCTCCCTGAGCTCCCACAGCTGGGATTTGCTGCCCTGTCTTCACAAGCTGAAAGGAACACCTGGCTTGAAATACAAAAACCTTCCTGCTTTTCCCACACCTTGTAATGACAATATGTTACATACAGCATTTTGGAAAAAAAACAGGATTAAATAGAATAGAATCTGTAGCATTGTTTTCTGAAATGTGGACAAAGCCATAGGCTAACAGATATGGTAAAAGTTGGGAAATTTTAGCAAAGGAACTTGGGTTTACACTATTTTAAATTGTTTAAACTATTCTAAATGTTATGAGACAAAGCTATAATTTTTCTTTTTGTCACTCCCACTGTAAGAAGCTTGTAACTGGCAAGCAATTTTGATGCAATCAAGTACAAGGCTAGAACAAGAATTAAGGTTCTGTGTGAGTGAAATTATTTCTAATTGTACTTAGTGCATTTTCTTATACTAAAAAATAGGGATGGGTTAATTCTGGAAGTGTCAGATTAGCTTTTTGTACAGTGTTGACATGAAATGTCAACAAAACATGAAAAACATTATTTCAAAAGGAATTTTTAATTTTAAATGACCATAACTCATTTAAAATTGCTGAAATCAGCACTACCACCTACAGACAAAAGACATCAGTCCTAAATCTAAAAAAGATAAAACTAAAATGGCTGAAATGTTTTTCTATTAACACAAAATATGTATTCCCTGAAAAATTTGAGAAGCCTTGTGTTGCTTCAACCTCTAATGAATGATTTTCCAACTTGGTGCAGTCATTATTAACCTATCTTGAAATATGGGCGTGATCATGAATTCTGCTCCTTAATTATATGGCTACCTTTTTTATTACCCTGTATTTAACTGATTTTAGAAATTAATCATATACTTATCACAGACTAAACAGGATCTATTAATGAACAGAGCTAATCAATTTTATTTTCTTCATACATTCTCCTCATGTACATGCTGTTGGGCATTGCAGGCTTTTTGGGTGCAAGTGATTGAAGTTAGCATGCACTATAAGCTCTTCCTGTAATCAGTCAATCAGCCTTTCAACTAAAGAACAAAGAAAGGAATTGGTATTGGTAAGATTCCTGCCTGTGCACAAGAGACTTCTATCGATCCTCTGACCAGGTAACTGTTGACTGCAAAAGGGTTATTGATCTTTTGTACTTAGGTTTTCCAGTACATGGATGTCATCTCTGAAAAGAAAGAAAAATCACAGGTTAAGAGTAACTCTCTGGCTTTGGTTTTGAGCTGGGAGATGTTCAGATAAAAATCATAGGGATTCTAGAAAATTAATAATGGAGCCACTGGAATTACATTCATGAAGCTCCTTTCACTTAGCTTTTCTTTAGCTAGGTGTTTCTTTGTACCTTTGGAGGTATCTGTTTTTTCTTGAGTGACTTAGAACAAATGCACGACTGTGGCTGTTGTGGTGACTTCCAGGTGCCCTCGTCACTGCCAGGTAGGAATCCACTAGCAGCAAGCAATGCATTTTAGGGTAGCATCCTACTGTAAGAACTGCTCCCTGTACTGCAGGCACCGGATTGTTGTCATTTGGGGTGCTTCCCAGTACTGCCTTGCCACAGGAGTGGGGAGCAGCTGAGCAGCTCCTGGATCCCTGTCGTGGCTGCATCTTTCTGGGAACTTAATACTTTGAGTACCAGCTGTGGGGGCAGCTGCATTGCAGCTGAGTAGGGCAGGCAGCCTTGCAACCTGCCTGGGCTTTATTAGGGTATTCCAGGTATGCAGCTGGGAAGCTGGAGGACAGGGCAGTTAAATTACCTGCCTAAAGCCACACAGAGTGTCTGGCAGATCCAGGCTGTCAGCAGGAGCTCAGGGTAACCCCACAGCCTTTACTGCTGTGCAACCTTTACCTATGTGAATGTGACTCTACACCACCTCCCTGTGCCACCAGCAATCCCCTTCCCCCAGAACATACCTGTTTTGGCTTGATCCCATGTTTGACCTGCAAAATATAGAGAGTGAGATATTAATTGTGACCCTCAGAGCAGTAATCAAAGCTGAGAATTCAAATGAGCAACTCATTAGGAGTTTGGGAAATGCAGGAACTTTTTTCTCTTTTCTTCACTGCTCTTAATCTTTTATTCAGTTTTACTCCATCTAGTGTCAGCACTTGGGAATAAGATCTTGTCTTGCAGCCTTTGACTTGTTTATATGAGCTCTCACTACTCCACAGGTAAACGGAATTCATCATAGTTCCATTCCTTCAATACTACTTAAGCATCTCTGGTGTCTTTGCTAAAGAAAGGCATCACAGGAGATTTGGTGGGCAAGGACATGCTTCACATAATTTGCCTCCATCTGTTTTCCTTCTTTGAGACAAACTGTCACACATGTATTTTAGAAATCTGTGGCAAAATTTTCTGTTTGTGTGAAACTCACTATACTAACTGTCAGTGTTTGAAAGATTCTGATTCTTATCTTTCTATTCCCAGTTTGAACTGGGCACTCAGTCCATGGGAGACCCTATGGTGAGATACGGATAGGTTGGAATCCCAGGGATTTTTTTCTGTTCTGCTCCATTTCCTCCCTTATTTCCTTCTCCAGTTTGGGGCTGGGATGAGTCAGCACAGCTCTGTAAGGTGTCAGTGTATGCACTGTCCTGCAGCACTTTCGCAGCTAAGTTCCCATCCTGCTAGGCTTGCCCAGTCTGGTCTTCCAGGATATCCAGGGAAGGTATCTGCTGAAGTGCAAGGACAAAGGCTCACCCTTTGTACCTGCCTGCTTGCCTGCAGCCTGGTGACCACATTGGATCTACCTAGGGTGTTGTCTCACCTTTGCCTGCACCCATCTGGCACTTCACAGACACAAGGAATTTCTTTTAGTGAGGCAACCCTGACCTTACCCAGGAGGTAACAATTACGCAGCAATATATTTCAGCTTGTTCTAGTTTGTGGTAGCTCTTTCATAGAAAGGAGAGACATTTCAAAACATAATCAGAGGACCTGATATAGGCTGTATTTATGAACTTATCAGAAATTTCTTCACACAAAATAACAGATTCAAGCCTGTGAACTGCTACACAAATTTTTACCTGTCTGGTAGCCATTAAAAAACCCCACAACCTTTTCCCCTCTTCTAATAACAAATTAATACAGAACAGGCTAGTGCAAAGTGAATTAAGCTAGCTGAGGTGAATCAGTAGTGGATTAGGTTCAGGGATGCTCGCTTGATCCCTTCTCTTGCCTGTGTCAAAGGACAAGAAGCTGGCAGGGAACTGCTAGGAAGGGTACTGTCTTTCAGTGCCATTCCTAAGTGATTGCCTAAGTGGCCTAACCCTAAGTAACTCAATTCTCTGCATATAAGAAGAGCAAAGAAGAGACTGGCTAGGAGATCCATGCTCTTCTCCATGTAGCCCAATCACTAAGTCACCTAAAGATAATGGATTTCTTGTTGATGCTTTCAGGCAATCTTCCCACTGTTAACAATGCCAGCTGCTGCAGGAAATGCCAGACCAGCCTTCCCTAGCACCTCAGCTGTAACACTTTACCACTTCCCTTGTGCCAAAAGTCCTTGAACAGCCTAATATGTCTGAAAATCATTTTTATGTTGTATCACATTGGTTTTTGGCAGGGCCAGTTCCCTGAGGCAGTGGAGATGTGTGACTGCCTGACCAGAACATACAGATGTGCTGGGAAGGAAGGGGAAGCAAAGCAGGCCTTTCTCTAGAGATGTGACACTCTGTTGATCCTGTGCTTCACTCTCCTCCAGGGAGTCATAGAAGCTCATTCAAAGGAACCAGTTCACAAGCACTTTAAAAAGCGAGTTTCTGCCTAAAGGAGTAGTTATTCTTCAGCACTTGTCTCCAGCACCCAGCCCCAGCCTCCACCTCTCCTGTGCCAGCACAGGTGTTTCCATGTCTGTGTAGTAGATCAGATTTGGGAGTGGTCCAGGTGTTGTTTTAATGCACACAAACAAAAAAATAACCTACTCACTTTTCAGGCAGTGGTTTTCTGGCTTTTTCCTTTACAAGACCTTACAAATTTTCCATCGAAGCTGTAGGCCTCTGCAAAGTGTCTTTAAACCCCATTTAAACCCATATGGAAAGTCTTTAGGCCCATAAACTTCTGAGAACTGCTGAGAAATACACCATGGATCCCCAAGCACTTGCAGTCTACAAGGCAGAAGTCAGCATCACTTTGTGATACTCTCTCATTTCTTTCAGCTTGCTATTTGTTCTCTGATGCAAGGTTGTAAAATGCACATGGAATATGCAGAGTGGATGATTATAAGCAACCATCAGAAGAAAAACAAACATCTGTGATCATACTTAGTACAGATTGCTCAAGGCAGAACTCTTGGAAAGTTGAATACCAGGGAACTGAAATAAAATGATCTTACAGACTATACACATGATCTTTAAAAAGGATCTATAAATAATCTTATTTTATGAGATATCACTGAAAAAGGCTCCTAGGAGTCCATCTGAATTCAGTGATTCCTTTTTCACAAGTTTATAGTGAACTTGAGTGCAGAAATTGAATGTGATACAGGAAAATCTGTGAGCTGGAATACGCAGGAGCTTTGACTTGATCCTGTTCTTTTTGAAGACCCGTGGCACTCCGAGTCTCTTGCATCAAGAGGCCTTGGTTTGGTTTGTTTTTAAGCTGTTGTTTAGCTATCATAGCAGCTCTCATTCCTATCTAATCCCATGTTGTCACCTCTTTGACAAGCCCTAGTCAATACTCAGTCTGGTTGGCAGACAGGTGCTGCCAGGGAGCAGGAGGCTCTCTGCTTGGTGGCATCTAGTATTTGAGTTACCCTGGGTGTCTGTTGACAGGAGTGAAGAAGGTACTCTTCCAGAAATATTTCTGAAATTTTTTTTATCCAGACTTGCAGAAGCTCCAGGGAAAGGTAGAATTACTCGTTTATTGCTGGAATCAGTTGCACCAGCAAGTTTGCCAGCAGAGGCCACGATGGCTGTGGAAGGAATTGCCTCTGACAGGTGTCCGAATATTACCAGGAAAGCATTCTCCTGACTCAGCAGGTTTGGCACCAGCTCTTACAATCAAATTATTTAGAGCTATTCAAGACTAGCCTCAAACAGTTGTGCAGAGGAGTAGGAAGGAGTAAGGATTCCTCCCTGTTTGGCAGCTGTGAAAAGGTCAACCACAAAGGCAGCCCCTAGATCCCAAGGGAGCACAGGCATCCTGGGCCAGATGCCCTCCCAGGGAATGTGGAGGATGGCCAGGGAGTAGCAAAAAATAGCCAGAAGTGTGGCTCTGCCCATCAGGCTGGTAGCTGGCATCAGTGAAGTATGCTGTATCCTGGAAACGGGCTTAATGAAATAATCTCACCCTAACAGTTTGAGCCATACTTATGTATATATATATATATAACCATCTCTCAGTGTGTGTCTGTATACAAAGTATTCCCTGAATTCAGGAATGGTGCTAGGAGGATCTGAGAACCTGGAAGTGCCTACAGAGTGTCTTAGTGCTGGTTTTTAAAGCCTGCTGTCCCCAGCATAGTGCAAAGCTCAGTGTTCTTGATTTTGGAGTATGTCATATAAAGATTAATTTCATTTCAAGGAAAGGGTAACCTGAGCCAGTGACTTGTCCAAGGTTGTTCAGAAGAACAAGTTTTGCAAAACAGGACAGTGACAGAACTAAGTACTTTGATTGTGTAAACATCACCATTTCTAGTCCTCCATGTGGGAAGAAGCAGACACGTTCAGGCTAGAAGATGAGGGGTGAAGAAAACCCAGGGGGCACTGTGGAAAAGAGTCAGGATGGAGACGGGACAAGAGGTGGACTAGGATGCAACAGAGCTGTACCATTTCTATTTGCTGCAGTGATCAGTAGGCAGACAAAATCTGGATAGAGTCTGAAGCTCTTTGGTATGGTATCTGGTGCTTTTCCTTCTCTGCTTTCCCATATCCCTCTGCTGAACCTTGCTCTTTCTAGACCCGACAGTGTTTTCTTTCTATGGCAGAAATGCCATGTCTGCACACAGCAAGGGGAAAACTAAGCTGAGTGGGGAAAGGGAGGTAACTGGTGGGCTGGGGAAGATCCACTGGAGTCTGGTTTTGTGGGACTATAAAAAGTAGTTCTTGTATCAGGGAGGTCCATCTGCACTGCAGTGTGAACTGTCTTATGCCAGGTGTTTTTCTGGCAGGTCTGGTCCCTGACAGCTGAAGCTCTTGTTTATGTTTGCTGTTGGAAAGCATCTTGGAGGATTTGATCTGTTCCAGAGACTGTTCTGCTAATGCAGAAATATGAGACACCTCAGGAAGAAAAAAAGTGTGCTGTTCATCTTCAGTTGATAATGTTTGTTAGTGCTTTGTAGTGATAGCCAATTCAGTGGTCACACATTTTGTGTAATGAGTTATTGATTTCATCTCCCTCTGCAAAGGTATCCAAACAAATCCTATTTTAACTTTTTAGTGGGGGTCTTAGCAGGAAGACTACAGCTTGGATGAAGTTTAGAGAATGAACTGGTATCATTCCAGGCATCTCCAGGCTAAAATGTGAGATACTTTATTGCCAGGAAAAATGTCCTCCTAAAGTCAGGTAAGTGCAAAGAAAACATCGGTCTCCATGTCTGACATATTTCCACTTCACTGAAAAGTAATCAAAAGTCACAAAAGTTGCTATAATATGGTTTAAAAAGAACAAATACTACTCCCTGTTTTCCACTTTCTTTGTATAAAATCTTCTTTGGAAAAGGTATCTTAGTTCCTTGAATTAGGAACTAGATAAAGATAATTCCTTTGCAAATTTATTTTTGGCATTGTGCTATTTCAAGTAGTTTTGCCATTGAACTTGTCTATAGTAGAGCAATAGTATGTGCTTCTATCTTAAGCAGATATGATTTCAGTGGATAGTAGAGCAGCTGAGACAGCATCACTGCCTGGCTGCAGGATGAATGTATAGTGTTACATGTGAATAGCTGACACAGTATGTGAGTCCTTGCAATGCATTTCAATACCCAGCATCCTGTGCAACCTGTGGTCTCCATCTTGGCCCTTTTTCCTTGTCACTCTTCCAGTGACACCTTCAGACAAGGACAAGGTCTTTTTTTTTAATTTTTCAATTTGTATTTACTTACGGATTTTGATTTGTAAATTTTGAGTCCATTTTCCAAAGGACTCCCACTTTCTCAAGTACCCACCTCAGCATCAAAAGTAGATCTCCAGTAAAGTTTATTTGTGAGGTCAGATTCTGGTGACTAGACAGATTATGTCTCTCATTTGCAGGTGATAGTATCAGTGATATGACTCATGCCTATGTTTTTGGCTTCCTGTTTCTTAAATGATGCATTCTGCAAATCACAGTATCCCAGACCAAGCTGGACTATTTGGATCAGAAAGAACTACTCTCATCTCTAAAACAAGAAAATTGTCTTTCTATCTGACTTCAAACGAGTTTGAAATACATGAAATTTTTAGATCAGATCTTGTTCACTATTTCTGCCTGTCAGGCTACTGACCTGAACATGACTCTTAGTTCAGATGTTTAGGCTATAGCAGTTCTGCTAGTTGGAAGAAACTGCTGCTCAATATTCATGTCTGCTTGTGATTGCCCAAACCTACTCTTTGCCATGCCATCCATCTCTGATGTTTATATTTTCAAAGCAGAGAATTTTGCCTCCTATGCAATTCATTGCACTGTTTTAGAATTTTTTTAGAGCAGACTGGAGGCTTTCAAGGTGCAAGACCTTCTCTATTCACCTAAAGAACACTACAGTTCTCAAAAGTATCTTGTGTTTCTCAAGCACAGTCTAGCAAAGGCCAGAGAAGTCAGTCCCTTAGAAGTCAAGACAGAAGATACATGAGAACATCTAGATGAAGCTTTGGGTAGGAAAAGAAAATGACCAATACACTTTGCTAGCAGCTCCCAAGTTCCTCCTCTCTTCCATCAAATATCTGAATAATTTGTGTCTTGCATTTAAAACCTGGTCTCCTGCTGGGTCCTGTAGAACCCAGTGAGTAGCATGGGAAATTTTGGTATGTGCTGTTGCCCGGGACGTGTTGACAACAGATTCATTTGCAGCAGATTTAAAATATGTACCTTTTCCCTTTTAGTAAACATTCTCTGTCTCACCACCCTTCTTGTCTCTGTATGTCTCTTTGTCTCCTGTCAAAATAAATCTGGCTGCCATGCACTGTAGTTAACTCAAAATATTGCTAACATTAAATGTGCCCAGACATTTTTATGAATACATTAAACTTGCATGGAATTTTGAGGCATTATAATTTACTAAGCTTACACTAAGATGGCATTTGATACTGACATGAGCTATTAATTAAAAAAGAGGACGTTAAATAATTGTCAGTTGACATCTAAATTACTGTTCCGTTGGCTGACAGAAGCTTGCCTCAAGCCTTTCTCTTCTCAAGTGTTAGTAAATATCCCATTGAGTTTAAGGGCATCCCATTGTGAATTGATTGTTTAAATCTTAATGTTATATACCTGACTAAATAAAGCAGTAAATGCTGTTAATTGTTTCACAAGGAGCTGTCAGTGTCATGTGGGTGTAGAAACACTTGTGTTTGAAGTATTTGGGAAACTATCAAGGGAGACACATACAAATGCTTCCTGACTTCTCTGGAAATCTGTTCTTGCAATGTGTTGGTTAGGTTCAGTACCAGCTAACCGGGGTTCTAATACAGACAATGATTATCTGCATCAAGGCCTTCAACTGGTAGGAGGCTGAGCAACTCCATCGCCTATGAAAGTACTGTGCTGGGTAATACCCACTCAGAGTATTTCCCAGCTAGGGAAATTATTGAGTGGCTTAGGGCACTCGTGGGAATAATGATGTGAAATTTTAAAAAAATTTGGCTGAAGGTGAATTTGGTGAGTGTTCTAACAGTTGGATTAAGGATTTTTTTTCCTGAACAAACATTAATAATCACAACTAGTCAGTCAGAAAATGAAGTTGTCTGCAGAAGATATGCCAGTTCTCCTCTCCTGTCCTAAAAGGGTGGTGTCTTGATTAACACTGAGGGTTTCAGGTTGTCTGTATCCCTGAGGGATTCAGGATGGCCATATGGTTGGTTTGAGTAAATCTAGAACCAGGTGATTTCAGATAATGGACTTCACTTTATCAAAAGGTTTTCTAGGACGAGTCACTGATCTAAAAATGCCACGAATTAGAATTCTGTAGGAAACTGAAGGAGGTAGCTAAAATCAACTTAGACCTAATTACCATATGTGTCTCTGGGGACCTGAAAAAATGGGAAAGTATGACATATGGGGAAAAATAACCATGAATAGAAATGAACAGCTTGGATTTTCTTGAGGAATCTCCTACTGTAGCACTTACATTGCAGGTACTCAGCATAAGTAATATTTCAATGCTCTTTTCAGGAAATAAACTGGGGGGAATTGTGGTGGCTTTGTGTTTGTGATGGTTTGGGGATAATTTTTTTTCCATTGCCACTGTTAAGAATGGCTACCCCATATACATCTCCTTTCAAAGATATACAACCTCAGCCAGTTAGATGAAGAATGTTAGAATCCAAACCATGGCTTATAACCCCTTTCCTTTGGTCTAATGTGGTCTTACAATGAAGACATGCCAACATGTGTGAGAGCCCTATGGAAGGCTACCAGATACTTCAGGTATTTTTTGCTATAAAGGTCCAGTTCCCCCCCCTTCAGATATTTCCATTAGACATAGGCCAGTTTAACATGTCAGCACAAACTCTAACATCTGGGAAGGCCCTACCCTGAAGAAGGTTAGGAGGAAAGATAAAAAAAGTACATTGAATTGTGTATGCTGTATTTCTTTTTGATTTTCTGTGTATAGATTGCTTGGGTTGCAGAATGATGGTGCAAAGCCAACCAAGTTCCACAACAGCTATCTGAGATGTGGAAAAGTATAGCTTTGTTTATAAAACAAAACACCATAGGTAATCCCTTGCTAAGTATTGATGCTGGCTTGAAGATATCTGCATTTCAGTAATCCTACTAAGAAGTAGTTTGCAGGGGCATTTTAATGTTTTCTATGGCTCTCATAGTATTTTTACTTTCAGAGGTTTCCTCAAAACCAGTAGAAACCTATACTGTTTCCACAGATAATTACCTGTATTATAGAACCTCTTAATGACCCATCAGGGAGTAATACATAGATGACATGAAGTGAATAAGAACAAAGATTTTGAGTAAATTACTCACTACCACAGCAGAATTGAAAAGTACAATTGATTAAGAAGTGATGGTAGATTTCTAATTGTTTTCTACTTAACCATAAAAATGTAATCTTTAACATAAATATTTTTTCCCCAAAACATTGTGGAATTAGAGCTTCTCTCACTGGTCAGTGTCAGTGGCTGTAAGGTAAAATGTTTGTGTGTTGTATGACACTTCCAGCCTTAAGACCAGAATTGTGTCATGAAACTGGAAACTTCACTCTACCTCTTGGCAAACACCTGTAGACTGGGACAAGGAATCATCAAAGGGGTCAAAGTAATGTCATCATTAAAGAGGTTAAATTTTGCTGCCATGATAGAGTTAGTCACTTCCCCTAGAAAAATCAGAGGATGGTATAATAAATGTTCAGACTAATAATTTCAGAAGGAAAATATGGTACATAATAAACAGCAAGGGAAGGTAGAAAGTCCAGTCTGCATTTCATCCAGGCAGTAAATCTGCCTTCTGTGTCTATTCTTGTCTTTGTCCCTATCATCCCCTTATTCCCTTTTCTCTTGACTCTGGTCTCTGGCTTTTTGGTTCTAGCTTAGCTCTTTCTCATGACTTCCCCATTCATTGCTCTGTCTATACTGTCCTTAATATGCCACGAATTTTACCAGGTATTCTGTTTGTTCTTCTGAACCTATCACAGTCCTAATCTATTTTAGGTTAATACACAGAAATTGTTCGAGTCTTGTCAGAGAATAGTGTATTATTAGAAAGAAAACATTTTATGAGAGTTGTCTTTGTTAGGTTGGGAAGCGTCTCCCTGGAAAAATAACAGATGTTTCACAACTGGGACCCTTCTCTGTTGGACAGGCAAGATATTGAGGTAGTTGCTGCAAGGGTTGCCCTTACTTGAATCTTCAGTTCAGTGTTTATATATGCTGTGCTCTGAGGAATGGCTGTGATGGGGACACCCTTCTATCCAGCTGTCTGAGAGAGGCCAAAAGCCTTTTCTGAGGTCATTGAGTATACCTACTATCTTCAGTTCATGAGAATGCTGATTAAATAATGTTTGGGATTTTTTAGTCACTTATAAAACGTCTCAAAGGGACACAAAGAAGTGTCCACATCTGCAGGTTACCATGAACCAACAGACAACTGCAGTCCAGAGTCTCTATTCCTGTACATCTCCTCCCCATTGCCTGCCCCTGGAGGAGAGGTAGAGTGGCCATTGTCCAAGCAGTCTGGCACTGCCTCTTCTACTGGTGAACAGCAGGTGCTCAAAACCTAAAATGGTCATACTGTTTCTGGGTAAGGGGGAGGAAGGTGAAGGGCAAAGATGCATCCCTTCCAGCAGGAATGATCACTGCATGACCTTGACCTATAAGAGCCTGGAGTGAAGGGAATCTTCCAAAATAAGATCCAGAAACAGTAAGCTTTGATGAAGCCATTTACCCACAGTTTGCTATTATTATATCTAGTATAAACTAAAAAAAAAAAGAAGAAGCTTAATCACAAGTGTTTGAAGGATTTTCTTTCTAAAAAGGATTTCAGTCTCATGGGATTTCTTGTGTATTTCTGAAATTACAAGGAATTTCCTTTTTCCACACAGATCCACCAGATATCCCAATCCTCTGAGGTTTACATGTGTGTTATGTGCAATCATTCAAGTGGCAGTCACAGGAAAGCATCATGCATAGAGAGAGAGAGGAGTTAAACTTATGGTTTGTGTATCACACCATCTCAGAAAATACAATGACTCTTACCTTCTATCCATTTTGCCATCTGACTCTAAAGAGAGAACACGACAATGTGGTTAGTTAAGAAACCAGGAACTGGGTGATGATAGGCCTGTGCAGAAGTTTTAAGGAGGGAGCCAGGAGAATATAGTTATTGCTGGTAAAGATACAGCCATCCTCTCTGAGGCAAAACTCTTGATATTTGTGTGATGCAACTTTCCTAAAGCCCTTCTTAATTCTTCCAGCTGAAATATCTCATGTTCATTTCCTCAGAGCAGTATCTTTGCTAATATTTTGGCAGTTTTGGGTTTGGCTGTAGCACATACCCAAAATATCATGAGAAACAACTTTGAGGCTAAAGAGTTGATTATACTGAATCTACAATTCTAGGCAGTCCATCACTTCAGACATGTTTAAAAGAGTTCTTCATAGGAAAACCAGAGCTGTTGTATATACACAATTGCTAACACTGAAGCTCAGATCTGCTGTATCAGAAGATAAGGAGAACTAGATCTCTGGATAAGGGATCAGGAGTTTTTTTTTCTTACCTCCAGAGACATGCTCAAACATTTGGGTTTTGATCATGCAGATTATTACTGCTACAAAACCAATTGATAGAAGTGCTCCCAGAGTAACTCCTATAATAACATATGTGTAATCTGCAAATATTGAAAACAAGTCAGTGAGTATACACCATTAAGTGATAAATGCAGTCTTTGTGTTTCACATGTGACACAGTTTCCAAAGTTTAAATGCATCCTTAAAAAATGATAACGTTGAGCCAGACTAGGAAGCTGAGAAGAGTCTGAGTCTACTCTTTCAAACCCCTGCATATCATGAATCCATGTGAACTCATTGCTAAGGGGCTCAAGGGTGTTTTATGATAATGAACCACTCCAGCCTTTGGTACATGCAGGTCTCAGCTGAGTTTTAGAGCTAGGGCTATACTTTTCCCCCTGAAGCAAAATACCCCATCCCCACTCCTTTGCCACTCTGTATCCTGCCAAACTCTTATTGCAAATAAGAGCCCACCTCCTAGTCTCTAGCTGCCTGCCCTGACTGAGTATTCTGCCTCTGTAAGTTTTTGCCTGGGGGAAGCAGGGGAATTTTTAAGTGTAAACTATGCACCATGTTGTGATTTTGCATCAGTGTGTGTACATGAGGGTCTGCCTCCATATGTGAGGCAGGAAGGTGCATGTGTTCAGAATCTGTGTTCTAGGCTTTTACTCCCCATGCTCATGATGCTTACCTAAAAGTAATTTAAAGCATCAGTCACCTGACAGGACTCTGCTGTACTAGGCAAATAAAAACACCCAATCAGATACTTATCTTCTACACATAAAAAGTACATAAAGTCTTCTAAAGGCATTCAGTTTTGTTACTTTGTCTCTAACTTCCTGTGTGAAAGAAAAAAATCTCACCATGAACTCACCAATTTCCTCTTCTGGATTTCCAGAAGCATGTATCTTTGCTCTCCAAAAATCTGGAATGGAAACATTTTAGCCTGTTAGGACACTGAGCAGAATGCCATATCTGGCTATTTCCAGGGGGATAGTTGATTCTAATTAAGCTTAAGATAGGATCTGAGCGTTCCTGAAGTAGTGAAGTGTTATCAATCAGGTTCATGGGGGCATCCTAGAAGTGTGGCCATCATGTGCCACTTTTTGAACAGAATAGAAAACACAGTTTCAAAATTTGATATTGTTTTAGCACTGTGTCCATTCGACAGTTTCCTCACTGCAAGCCTGAGAGCATAGCTTCTCTATGCAAGAGAAGCTGCTATAAATCAAGAAAAAGATTACAGATGCACTGAAGCTAACAAGACATGCTAACAAGTAAGGATATGGTACACCCCAGCACCCTTTCCAGAAAATATGAATCCTAATCCTTCTTGTAGTTCCAGTCTTCTGAATGTGTTTTATTGCTGTCAGAGAGAAGAGTCTTTTCCGCTTGCAAGAAAACTTCATGGGCTGGGAGCAAACGGTTTCAGAGACTCCTATGCCAAGTTCCCTGCTCATGAGAAGGACACCTCTTGGCCCTTGCCTTCTCCATAAAGCCACTGAGCCGTGTTGCCTGATGGTCAGTGTGTGCAAGACCTCAGAATGGAGTGGCTCTGAAGAAAATAATTCATTCTCACATACTTCATGATGGAAACAGATTCAACATTTAAAAAAAAAAAAGGAGAGGTCATATTTAGTTTTAACATTACTTGGTTATTATAGGAAATGGATACAAATGTGCATTTAATTTTTTTTTTTTTTTCACTGATTGGCATGCAACGGTATTTCCACCAAAGTCTTTTCAAGTAGCTCCAAATGATGCAACTGACATGCCTCACGTGCCTGGACCCTGAGAAGGGTTTAAAGACAGATATCACTCCTGCATTTCAAAACAGCATGCTGCTAAATTTCTGCACATGCCTCAGGCAGAACATGAAGTCCTCTCCTACAGCTATTGCTCTTTGGCAAGTGACAGTACATATATGCCAGCTGCTGGGGACATAGCTGCTTTGCACACAGCACCATCTTTTCACTGGCATTCCGTCATAGTGGGGAATTGTGAGGGAGTATCATTTCACTGAAACTCAAGTAGAATTTTAATGTCTTAATGCATCCAGCTTTCCTACCGCTAAGGTGTCCAACATTGTAAGTCCCAGCTCCTCTCCTCCACTTCTTGTGGAGAATATTTATTGTGGAGAAGTACTTCTTATTTTATAGAAGCAGAAATGTTTTCCCTCTAAAAGCCCCATGACACTCAGAGAGGGAGTTAGAAGGGGTTATACTGGCTGTACTAAATGACCAAAAACAAAGTTATAAAAATAAGGCAATTTAAAGAGAAAAGAAAAGTCTAAGACTACACAATGGGTGTAAAAAGCATAGCTTCTGTTTTGCCAGATTAAAAACCAGTCTCTTTGCTCTCGCCTGTGATTTTATTTCATTATAAATTTTAAAAACCCCACCTTTCTTCCATCCCCTTAATTATTCTTTGTGCTCATATGAAGAATGTTTTAAATTCAAACATAATAAAAGTGATATTGTATTACTTTTATTATCCTAATGATCATAATACATGGACCTTAATGTATGCTTTCTAATGGAATTAAACCAGTGACAGATTATGTGTTTTATGGCAGAAATAATATTTTACATGGAATATTTTACGTAGGTCAGTTTAATATATTGAGATTAAATTACTGGTTTCTTTTTTTAAAGGGAGGGAAATCTCTGAAAACCCACAAGACTAAAAAGAATATTTTCAATTCATACTTTCAGTATGGTTTTAATTAAGGTTTAATATCATTTACTGGTTACTGCTTAAGTACCATTTGCTTTTGAAGACTGTGTTAGGTGTCTTCTGTTTGTTTCCTTTTCTTTTTTTGGGTGGAAAGAGGTGGATTAACTAATTCAAATAAACTGTTCTTCTGTTTGACATCGATCTCATCTTTAGTTTAGATTTTTTGGGGACACACTCAGCCCTCCTGGTTCAGAGCAGTTAGAAATGATGCCTTACACTCTGCAGTGTTCTTGTCCTAATGCTAGCTTTTTGACTCCTTAACTCAGTGTGTGGGGTGTAGACTAATTCCCACGTCTTGAACAGACCCTCTGGACTTGGAAAATATATGCTTCTGGGTGGAAGAGCCTTGCAGATGAATTTGATATCTGTTCTTGAGTGACTTGTGGATCATTTTCAAAGACTCTCGAAGCAACTGATTGTTGATGCTTTTTCCCCTCTCCTGTGTGCCTGGCTCAGACACAGCGCGAAACTGGCAGTGTAACAGAGATGTGCCCCGCGGGGCTCCGGCAGCACCAGGACGCTGGTGAGAGGTGCGGGTTGGACGTCCAGCTGAGGGGGGTTCATCTTTATGAGCATGTTATTAGTAGAGAGTCTGGAGATGAGACTGCAGACTGGGTGGGTCCTGCGTTGGAGGTGGGGGAACGGAGAAAGAGTAACTGTGAATCTGCTGTGGGAGCGTGCGGGAGGAGCCAGGATTGGTGAGGTGTGCTGAGCCAGGCGTGCTGCTGGGGAAGCTCTTACTGCTGTCTGCAAACGCAGTCCTCTGCCAGAGAGGTTACCCCCTCCAAGGCGGAGCTGTTGACCTGCAAATAAATACACTGGGGTGGGAGCCCTCGTCTGTGGTGTAACCCTGGGCAGACTTTGCCCTCCTCGGATGTGCTACACACAGAGCTAAGCTAAGCAGAAAACTGCTTCTGAGCTCACTGAGGGACATCCTGTTCTCCCCGTTCTCCCTGCGACATAGGTCTGCTCACGCCGTGCCTTGCCCAGAGGGCGGGGCGGTGAAGAAAACGATGCAGAATGCAATTTGGGCATAAGATCAGGGAGCAAGAATAGCTCCATTTCCCCACCGGATTAGATATTGTAAGCAACTCCCAGCCATAACCTGCTGGTAAACAGCAATGTGTGCCTCTTCTTTCTCAATACACAGCAGTTGCCTCAGTCCCTTTGCTTGTTGCCTCCTGCTTCCATGTGACTTTCTTCTCCCTTCCTCCCCCGACTCAGATTTCTTACTGCAACAGATAATGGCTGGTTCTGTGGCACTGCAGCAGCCAGGGGCTTAGTGCCATTTATCTTTGGGACAGCAAATGGGAAAGGAAGCAAATATCTGGGGAAACTCAGAGTAGAAAAAAGGAATGGCTCCCAGGGAGTGTCTAAGCAACTCCAGTCAAGTAAGAAATGACCATGACAACAAAGGGATTACAGGCAATAATCCTGCTGGAAAACATCCCTGAAAATCAATATATAAAAAATGAAAGTATTTTGGCTGGTATTTAGTTTAGCAAAATTTTCAGCTTTATGTAAATCTAGTAATATAGGCACCGTTAGCATCCAAGCAAAGGAGTTCTTTCATTGGAACTCAGAGGCAAAATCCTTCACTGAGTCACTCTTACATGGAGACAGAAATTTGTTGCGTTATAGTCTGTGCCAGGCACCCCTCCATCCAAAGCATATAGCCTGCCTGTACCTTTCCATGTGAATACTTGGAGACATTTTCCCCTATATCTATTACCTTTTGTTGTTGAACATGCCTTGCTGCTCCTGAGTCTGCATCTCTTTGCTCTAAGTAAATGCTACTGTATTAATGGGACTTGTGCCATTTGATTGCTGAGCCAGAACTATCAGTCGCTAGGGAGCAGGCATGGCTGATTTCACACCTCTAAGAACAATTGGTTAGCCATATCCTGTGTGGTGGACAGTCTTCTTTCCTCTGGAGTCTTGGAAGTGTCAGTGGAAGGTTGCAGAGGGCTTGAAGGGCCAACAAAAACAGAGAAACAAATTCTTATGTATATCCTGAGGTTGGATAGAGCACTGTTGTAGATCTATGGATAGCTTTGCTTGCAGAAGGTGAGGCAGGAGCAGATATCCAGTGGACGAAAGCTGGAATAGCTGGTCTGTACGTCTCGGGGGCGCAGACTGCCCTTGTGGGATTCCCCAAGTGTAGGTGGTGATTTTCTGTGAGTGCCTGCATGAAGCACGGTAGTGTGGGAGGTGCGCTTTAGGTAAAAGATGAGGCTTTTGCCACCAGAGGGTGCCTGCCCTCTTACCAAACGTCGGCAATAGCCCATGTAACTGCTGCCAGCTCCCTCCTCCCCATTAGTTCACGTTGTCCCAGTGTTAATAGCACCCCTGCTGACGCTTTCTATCCATGAGCCCCGCTTCTTCCCCGCAAAAAGTGGAGATGAGTAACCATGAAGTCAGAGACAGGTCGTGAGAAAACCCTGCTTTGGGCAGGCAGGGAGCATTAGAAGGAGCATGAGTCAGGAGCATCAAAGTCCTGCAGGGAAGAGTTGCAGAGTCCAGAAGTCGCTTGCGGTTAATGTGCACACGGATCAACTTTTCCCTCATACTCTATTAAAGTAATGTTTTCTGTACATTGCCAAACAGCAGCTCTGTCATCTCCTCTGCAAAACTGCAGGTATTTAACTTCATGGTGTCTTCTGCCGCCTTAGCACTCAGAATAGGAAATGTTAGCTAGAAAATTCAGCAAAATACTCGTCTGTCTCTACGAATGTTCTGTCTCCAAAGAACAAAGTTTTAAGCAACATATATACAATTAGGCTGGGGAATAAATGAGCCCGCCAAGCTCAGGAAAAAAAGCTCTCAGAAGGAGTAGAAAAGAAATACATTCAATCACTTACGTAAGAGAAGAAGAAATGCTGTTAGGACTGATATCCAGCTTGTTAGTAAGGTCATTATGAAGTTTGGACAACAGAGTGGTTTCACCAAGTTCTCTGAATTATGCTCTTCAGCAGTGTCTTAGAAAAAAAAAAAAACCAACAAAAAAACCCCTAAAGCAGATCACATGACCATTGAGAAACTATGGTCACATCCTGAGTAGTTACATTTCCAAACAGAAGTTTCCTTTTTTGGTTTTAAGTTCAACATATAAACAAGCTCGCCACTTGAAAATGTTTTATGGAGAAGGTGGACAGCCAACAGTCACAGTCTGGTTCAGCTGTTTCACTCTCTGAGGAGTCTTTAAACACTGATAGTTATTTTTGCAGAATTGAAAAAGTCCTACCACAGAGAATTTGTCCATGCTGAAGTCTTCTAATCCATGGACCAGTGAGTGGATTTTCTGTCTTGGAAGAATCTTCTAAGGCATTCTCTCTCAGTTTTGCTAGCTTTTTTCTTTAATTCAACATGAATGCTATATCACAATGTTTTGAGAAGAGGACTTGTTTGAATATTTCCCTTTCATAATCAGCTTTTTCAGGAACAGAGGAGAAGCAGCTCACCATGGCTGCTAAACCATTGCAAGCAAGTTCCTGGAAAATAACTTCCACCTAAGAAAAATGTCTCAGTGTAGTAGGAACTAAATAGCAGGAGCTTACTATCAGACAGTGTTTCTGATAGGAGTCAAGTTTATTCTTTGAACCAGAGTAAAAACCACACATTTTTCTGCTCTTCATGAAAATTTATCTCCTTAAATGAATTAATCTGTTCCACAACTGAATGACAGCAAAACAAACAAATAAAAATGCTTTTTGCTAAGTGAACACATTCCTTCAAACTCATTTCAGGCCTGTCCTTCAGAGGGGAAAAGCACAAGAACATGGGCCTCATTTTTTTGTAGCACATGTCTCTGGAGGGTCTCCATATTGCTTTTACCTCTTGCTTATTGTTGTACCTTTCTACTTTAGAATTGTCCTTTGCTGTCTGATATCTTCAGCTCATGTGGATGCTTATATGCTCCAATCAAAATAGTCTGAAACACATCTTGTGTGAGAAGTTTTGAGAGAGAAAACTCTTGAATATTTCTTTTTCCTACTGTTGGTGAAGGAATATCTGAGCAATCTGATCTGAGCAGAATCTCGTGTCTTAAGGCTGGACGAAATATCCGTCTTGCTGAGTAAATTGCAGTTGTGAAGCCTTGCTTCCAGACATGTTCTTAATGGGACCATTGTAGTCCATAAGGAAAATGCTGACTGGCAAGTGTGTATGGCCAATGACTGCAAATGAGCACGATGCTGACAAATGTTAAGTTACTCTGACAGTCTGAGTGAAAAATCATATTCATGACTTCCAAGCTGTTTGAGAAGGGATAAGCAAAATACAGTGTTAGCCACCAAACAAGACTCTCGAGACACTAAAAATATAAAATATAAAGATGATCCATGTACTCTCTGAGGTGGCCTTAGTTCCTGGCCTGTTTTGCTGTGTGAAGTGTAAGTACAACCGACTGAGTGCGATAGATGTCATGGAAAGTATTTGTTAATGCTTTGACCAGTAGTGAGTGTTGGTGTGTACATATGCATGGATGTCTAGTTCATTTTTGCTCTTTCACTGCTCCTGGTTCTCTATGGGATCAGAGTTGAAAACACCAAAACCAAGCAGACAAAAATCTCTGCACCAGCTGAGTGGAAAAAAATCAGGATCCTTGTAAAAAACCTCCAGTGGTTTTGTACCTCATATGTTTCATCTGCAAATGATCCCATGCTCCAAGGTTCCTGAAAACCTCTTATGGAGGGACTAACATGAATGTCAGCTCTCTTGTTTTGTTTTGGGATTTTTTTTTGTTTGTTTCTCCAGGCCCAAGTTAGTGGTCTCAAGTGGTTTTTGTATTTTAGAGAAGGAACAAAACATCAGAGTATTTGTCTGAACTCTGTCAAACTGTTTGGTTTATTCCATTGCTTCTTTCCACAAATGCTTCAGAGAGCTTACTAGCTGACTGCACACTGCTGACTGTGTACACTTCACTGTTCTCATTCACAGCATACTTCCAATGAGGAAAAGCACTGATCAGAATAAGCTAGGTTTAATATAATCCTGCTTTGTGGTAGGTTTATTCTGATTCTTGACCAAATTGGGAAATGTGGTTTCAAGCACTGTCATCATTATCAGCCCTCCCTCTATTCTTCACCATCCAGCCACGGGGCAGGATATATATGTTTAATTAATTCTGCTTTTACCTTCGACCTGTAAATAGTGGGAGTAATGTCAGATTTATACGTTATATGAATAACAAGGATTTCTCAGGAGACCCTATCCTGGTGAAAGAGGCTAACTGTAATTTTCAGCTGTGAGTAATTGTATATAATATAATCCTAAATGATTTTTCTTCTGTAATTTCATTAGAGTTTAGAAATTTAATTAGATTTTGAATCACTCTGAAATAAAGTAGCAAAACACCCAGAGACTAAGTGCAGTGGTTATTTTGTCCTCCGAGGCCAGAATTCTTGGTCTCAAATTGGCATGTGTTCATTAGGAGGAAGTTTGCAGAAGTTCTTGATATATTATTGTCTTTCAGAATGGACTCTGAATAGGTCTTTGGAGAGCATTAGAGGAGCACGCGATTATTATACAGACTCTTTTTGAGGTTTAAGATCATCTGCCTTTCATATACTTAATAAAAATATGCCTCTAAAGTTGTTTAAGAAACTGTGGAGATAGGAAAGATGCTCCTCCAGTGCCTCAGTGCTCTTCCTGGTTTATTAGCAACTCCAGTACCTGTGTATGATGATACAGAGAGGAGTTGTTTGCTTTACTTTAATGATTAGGTAGGTTTATGGTTATTTTTATTGCTACACATATGAACTGTCATGGTGGCTGTAATTAGAGACACACTAAAATGCTGTTCCTTCTCTTCTATCTGAGGTTCAAAAGAAATCTGTCCTGGCCAACTTTGATTCTCTGTGGAATTCATCCTATGAGCAAAAAATAAACTCAGATGGCATGGAACAGCACAAAGCAAAGATTAATGCAGTAGCTTATGATAGCACAGGGTGCCAGGATAGTTGTGGGTTCATAAAGGAGATCCTCTTAAAAGATTCTGAGGGATATAGGTATACAAGTACTTGATCCCTTTTTGTTTTGACTTGTGTAACACAGTTTGTTTTTGTGGAGATGTCCAGATTTATGCTTTTTAACTAAAAAGAAGGGATCTGGACATTTAAGAGCAAATTCTCCAAAGCCTTTAGCCACAGTAGGGCCTCTTTTGTCATTGGAGTTAGTTGATGGATCAGGGCTACCTGCATGATTTTGTGAGAGTAGGTCCTTAAAAGGCAAAGGAGGCAGCATATTGGGGGATGAAGTAGTGAGAAGGAAATTCAGATTACTTTCAGCATGGCCAAAATATAAGGAACCATAAGAGAGCTATAGACAGTATAAATTAAAGAATCTAACAAAAATGAGCATGGAGAGAGACAGCAAATGTTGTAAAATGAAGAATTGTAGCAGGACAAATGAGACAGACAAACATCAAGAAGATCTTTAAATAATAGCAGTCCAAGCTATTTGAAAAGAAAGAGGTAATCCAGTGCAATGGGATGCATGTCAGTCCCAAAGCAAGGAGTCAAAAAGAAATGTCTCAGATGAGCAGAATGTTCAGTTATGGACTGACCCATGCAAATGTTGCATCCTCTGTGTTGGCCACTGCAGGCAGACATGGAGTGAAATAGCTCCTTGGTCTGATCAAAGGCATCATCTCCTTTGTTCCATTAATAGCTCTTGATGAGAGCTCATCATCACACATATTCAGTCCTTGGGCTCAAGTATATACCTTCAGAGTGTGGCCAAGAACATCTGGATTCCAATTGAAAAAGATTCTTGGAAAAAGATTGGAAGTTTTTGTGCACTTTGCTTGGTAGATATAAATGGAAATTAGACAGCCTCAGGCAGTCTGGTGTGTGTGGTTGTGCTGCCTTCCATTAACATGTCATGTCACATTATAGAACAAATTGAAGAAAACATGTTCAGGCTGGTTACTGCTAAAAAATCAAGGTGCTTTTGCTATGGGCATCCGGAACAAATTGCAACTATGCCTGAAAACTCACAGCTGCTCTTCCTTTGCTATTTTCTCCATCTCCTCCTCTGTCAGGACTCTGAGCTGCTGGGACAACTGGAAGGGATTCCACATCTCAGCAAGCAGTAGGATCACAGATGTCGGGTGTGTTAACAAAGGGAAACATGCTTGCACCAATTATTTTAATACTTCCCTCCCTTGACATTAAAGAATCTGTGGGAAAACATTCAGCATTTCAGTCTTTCTCCTTTTTTGTTCCACTCTATCTCTGTTTCTGTTTCAGTGGGAAGGAATGTGTTATGTTGCAGAGGTGTTGCCTCATTTTAAAAACACATTGTCTGGAGTTTACTTGGGGGACAGTATAACTTGGTCCTGGTTAATAACTCAGATGCAGGGAGGCAAAGTTAAAAGCCTTGGGACACTGTTTACTCAAGTGTCTTGTGTACATTGGGAAAGAAACTGCTGAAGTAGTCCATGTCTCAGCTATTCATTTGCAGATGTCCTGCTCCAGATCTTGCTCTGTTCTTTGGTTTATAAAACTGTGTGATGTCCCTCGTGGAAGTTACAACTTTTACTGAGCTTAGTTTCTTCCATACCAGATATATCTAGATTATTCATTCACGTGTTCTGCATCTGTTTGTCATTACTGCTTGCTTCCCGGTGAAGCACATTGGTTTTTGTACTTCTGTTGACTCTGTGTTATGCTGCAGCAGAAAAAAAAGGGTATTACAGCAGAAGGCGATGTCTTCCATGGTGAAGGATGCCCAAAAGTCTGGGAAGCTGTATATCTTTTGACTTAACACATGGCAATGGGCATATTATGTGCTGAGATGAAACATGGGTAGGCAGACATAAATTGGAGTTGAAAAGTAAACCTTTTTTTAGGAAACATGGCTAATACTGTGTTTGGAAAGTGCATATCTAATATTTGCATGAAAACTGTCAAATTCATTCCAGGCTGAGCATCAGGCTTCTGCCACTCTGCCA